AAACAGATTACTAAATAGTTGTTTTATTAACATTAGACAATAAATAGTTATGTTTTTAAACCATTTTTAATCATTATTTTGTAACTCGGATTGAAGGGTTAACTTTTATAAAACATTTGAAAAGTAGCAGAAATAAAATCAAGTCCCATCTTCTGGCAAACGTGTGTGTGTGTGTGTGTGTGTGTGTGTGTGTGTGTGTGTGTGTGTGTGTGTGTGTGTGTGTGTGTGTGTGTGTGTGCGTGCGTGCGTGCGTGCGCTCATACACTATATGATTACTCAGTTCCATTTGGAGGTTTGGTGGTTTGAGTGGCTGAGATGTTTTATGTCCTAGCAGCTGGTGCCAAGGTAATCTGAAGTAATGCAGTTGTCAGGCTCTATTGTCTCTGCTGGCCTCATCTCCCACCAGCAGCCCATAAAAGCAGAGTCATTTAAACCGCTAATGAAGTGAGGAGTCTGGACCGGCAGCTGATAAAGCCAGCCAGGAAATGCTCATTTCCTCAGCCTGACTCTTTATTCACTTTGCTGAAGAAAATTCACTTCAAAATCTTGTTCCAACATAATTTTCAGGTTTCTGTTTCTGCTCAGTCAGATCAGTTTTTGTTAAACATTTACACCACCCTTAAAGACTACGTGTGTTCCAGTCTGATACTAAATCAACTTTCGGTTCATTTGTTTAATATTTAGTGATTTTCATGCACAGGAGAGAGTAGTTTGTACAACAGTTTGCAAAAATCAATGAAAAACATAAAAACTACCCCCAAAAAAGACAAATTGTGAAGAGTTTGGTCACTGGTGAAGGAAAAAATCATAAAAATGTCTCTTTAATCTTCATCAGTTATTGCTTTTTGAAATGTCATTTTTAAAATTCTCGCAGGATCTCCAGAGCTGCTCTATTTCACTGGATGTTAGGCTGTTTTCCCACTCTGACAAATTAAAAACCAATGAACACAGAAAAAGCTTCCTCAGCAATGCATTTATTTATTTGATGTGATGTAATTTCATAAATTTATAGACCTAGTTAATGTTGATGATACCTATTGATTCTGGGATTTTGAAGCCATTGGAAGCACTACCCAGTGTGCCCAGACTGCATTACCTCTCCAACGCTAAACAAAAATACGTAATAAATTTGAGTGATCTGTGAGCAAACAGAATAAAACGTGAACAATGTGATTTCACAAGTGTGCATTAACAATTTGCATTTTCCTTTTGTTTAAATGACATGCAAGATGATGGGATTGCAGAGTTGAATGATGATGCAAAAGAAAATACGTAAGAAGGCGAGGCAGACGGAGAAGTGTAAACTTGGCTTAAGTCTGAATTAAACTGAACTGAAATAAATAACTGAAATAAATGGATTTTGGCACTATATTAGAAATTTTTGAGTTTCACCTCTATGTACAATGATACTTTACCTCATAAGCCACCACATTAAGCTCTCATCCAATCATAAATAATAATAATAATAATGCATTGAACTTATGTAGCGCTTTTCTAGACACCCAAAGACGCTTTCACACACACTCACATTCACACACTGCTAGTGATGGTAAGCTACTTGTAGCCACAGCCGCCCTGGGGAGGTCTGACAGAGGCGAGGCTGCCATTTGGCGCCGTCGGCCCTTCTGATCACCACTAACACAGGCAAGTTGGGTGAAGTGTCTTGCCCAAGGACACAACAGCAGGATACCCCTGGCGGGAGCTGGAATCGAGCCCATTGGATCATGAGGCAACCCGCTCGACCTCCTGAGCTACTGCTGCCATCTGATCCATGTTTGGAGTGACAATAATGTTGATTTAGTACAACAATGATAAGAATAAGAATGATTAATATGCTTGTCTAACACTCATTTCAAAGTTAAATCACATTTTGTCCTTTAAAGAGGATGACAACAATTCTTTTAAAAAGTTCTTTTGTAAAGTGATCAAAAAAAGGTTCTGAATTATTATATCTGAAAACAGCAACAACAAAAAAACACAAATCACAGAAAATCCTGCCAGATATTGATGTAAATCACGCATTAAAGTGGTGCTAGGGGGCAGTACATACATTCTGATGGATACTTTCAGAGATTAAGGGTAGGAGTGAAACTTTGAAAGTCACAAAATCACCACTGTATGCCATAACCATTCCCTCCTTGTGTCTCATTTACGCAATACACTGAATTTAATGAGTATATGTCATGAGCCTGACAGGATTTAACTTTTAATAAAAAGTATGCACAATTTATGCAGATTTTGGCCCACACAGAAGGAATTTCACAATATGTCCTCACACATAGAAAATTAAGAAACATAATGGAACATCATCACACACAAAGATGGATTAACCATTTCTGTTCACCTGTTATGCCAAAGTTAAACCATAAAATGCCTTTTCTGGTTGTAAAATGTTCCAGTTTTTTAAAGCAGGGCAAAAAGTATTTAGTCAGTCACCAATTGTTCAAGTTCTCCTATTTAAAAAGATGAGAGAGGCCTGTAGTTTTCATCGTATACCTCAACTGTGAGAGACAAAATGAAAAACAATCCAGAAAATCACATTGTTACATTTTTAAATGATTTATTTGCAAATTATGGTGGAAACTAATTATTTGGTCTTCTACAAACAAGCAATATTTGTGGCTCTCACAGACCTGTAACTTCTTATGAAAGAGGATCAATCAACCAATCAATCAACCAATCAATCAATCAATCAATCAATCAATCAATCAAAGCTTTATTTATAAAGTGCCTTCCCTGTCGGGAAGCCCAAGGCGCCGAACACGGTCCATGAGAAAAAAGGGTAAAAACAATAAAGTAGAAAACAAATGGGTAAAACCAGAGAGGCTCTTCTGTCCTCCTCTCATTACCTGTATTAATGCCACCTGTTATCTGTAGAAAAGACACTTGTCCACAACCTTAAACAGTCACACTCCAAACTCCACTTGGACCAAGACCAACGAGCTGTGAATGGACAGCAGAAACAGAAATGTAGACCTGCACCAGGCTGGGAAGACTGAATCTGCACGAGAAGAAATCAACTGTGCAATTATTAGAAAGTGGAAAACATACAAGACCACTGATTATTTCCCTCGATCAAGGGCTTCACACAAGATCTCACCCCGTAGTCAAAAGGATAATAAGAGTGGTGAGCAAAAATCCCAGAACTACACGGGGGGACCTGCAGAGAGCTGGGACCAAAGTTACAAAGGCTACAACCAGTAACACACTACGCCAGGGGCTCAAATGCTGCGGTGCCAGATGTGCCACCCTGCTTAAGTCAGTTCATGTGCAGGCCCATCTGAAGTTTGCTAGAGCGGATCTGGATGATCCTGAAGAGGATTGGGAGAATGTCATATGGTCAGATGAAACCAAAATAGACCTTTTTGGTAAAAACTCCACTTGTGTTTGGAGGAGAAAGAATGCGGAGTGGCATCCTGAAGAACAACAAACCTATTGTAAAGCATGAGGGTGGAAACATCATGCTGTAGGGCTGTTTTTCTGCAAAAGGACCAGTACGACTGATCCGTGTAAAGGAAAGCATGAATGGGGCAGTGTATTGTTGGATTTTGACTGAAAAACCTCCTTCCATCAGCAAGGGCACTGAAGATGAAACATGGCTGGGTCTTTCAGCATTACAGTGATCCCAAACACACCGCCTGGGTAAGGAAGGAGTGGCTTCACAAGAAGCATTTCAAGGTCCTGGAGTGGCCTAGCCAGTCTGAAGATCTCAACTCCACAGAAAACCTTTGGAGGGAGTTGCAAGTCTTTGTTGCCTAGCAACAGCCCCAAAACATCATTGCTCTAGACGGGTATCTGCATGGAGGAATGGGCCAAAATACCAGCAACATGTGTGTGTGAAATCCTTGTGAAGACTTGCAGATAATGTTTGACCTCCATCATTGCCAACAAATGGTATATATGGTAGTTCAGTTGACCAAATACTCATTTTCCACCGTAATTTGCAAATAATTTCTTTAAAAATCAGACAATGTGATTTTCTGGATTTATTTTTCTCATTTTGCCTCTCAAAGTTGAGGTAAACCTATGATGAAAACCACAGCCTCTTTCATCTTTATGAGTGGGAGAACTTGCACAACTGAAGGCTGACTAAATACTTTTTTACCCCATAATTAACATGCTGAAGCCACATAGTAGGTCGCATTTGTTTTGTTTCTGCTTCAACTCCCTGTGTTCCTGAGTCTTGCCATTATATGTCAGTGGTTAGTGGTTTACTTAACTGAATGTTGGACTGACTGATCCTAGCTCATCTGTAAATAACCAGACTAACCCTAAGAAAAAATGGCTTCTACTTGCTGTAAGTGTCAGAGTTACAAAACAGCAATGTGACAATCTTCTGCCACCATTTTTGATTAAAAGAAAGGTTCCCGAACAGAAGCTGTGGTCCTGAAGGGGCAATTAAAGCGTCAGTAGCGGATGCAGAGTGCTAAATTTTTACGATCGGACATCTGTGATCACCCAGCTGGCTCTGCAGAGCTGAGTGTGTGAAATCACACAAGTCTTACAGCATCCCACCCAGGGGTACGTGTGATTAGCTTGCTCTAAAAGTACAGGTTTAAGGTTATTGATCAGTGATTGGACCAGGAAACAATGTGAATTTGTGTGTGTATCAGACTGAGGGAATTAGATTGACCTCAGAGCTACAAGAGGCCGTCTTCCTGCGCCGCACGTTGGTTCTGTCCTGTAAATCAGCCACAAAGCCCCTCTGCATTAGCAGAGCGAGAAGCTGTACATTTCCTTTATCGTCCTGCAGCCCAGACGCTGCAGATGAACAATCAGGACAAAACTCCACCGCAGATGGGAAGATTACCTGTGTGAAGTTTGAGAAGAAGTTTAGAATGTTTGTTCAGATGATGGATTCAGGTCGACCTAATATTCATCTTTTGGGTGTTCTCGTCTTTTTTTAGAAGGTCAAAGTGAGCCGGTGTGTGTGTTCAAGTTGTATAGGCTACATAACTTTTCATTTCCTTTGCTGATCTGTATTTTTTTCTCTCTTTAAGCTCGTGGCAGCAATAATCTTCATCAGCATCGGAATCATAGCATCCTTTTTCTGTGCCATCGTGGACGGGATCATTGCTTCGGAGTTCATTGTGAGTGTCGTGTGCACGCAGCAGTTTTTAAATAGTTTTTGCTGCAGAGATGCAGGCGCATTGATCAGATCGGATCAGGAAATGTGAAGCTGAGATGCTGAAACATTCAGACTGATAAAATTAATGGTTGCCTTTCTAAAAAAATCCAATGGCAACTAATTTTGTGTTAACATATGAGGAAATTCTCTAGAGTCTAACAAGTTGTATAGATATTTAAGAATCTAAATTCCAGATACTGATCATCTGAATTATCTAATCTTTGCAGATTATGTCTAGCACTATAATTTGCACAGTTTGGCTTTGGGCAATGGACACTAGCTCCACCGATGAAGTGACCAGTGAAAAATAATGTAAAATTTGAGTAGACACAAGATGGAAACCTTCTGTGCTCCAAAAACAATGAAACAAATGACAAAAAACAGGACTTTAAATCAGAAGCCGGACATGAAACCATAAAGACAAGTTATGAAAATGAAAGTATGAATCAAATGTGTTTTAGACCCTGATTTTGCATGATGTATGTGAGTTGTTTTAATGAGTATTTGTACAATTTCAGGACATACGACCCGTGCAAGAGGACATGTGTTACTATTACAGCAGTGGATCGGGACACGCATATGACAACTACTACAGTGAGGTGACTCTTGCTTATAATCACCTTCTAGATACGCACTATAAGATGGATAAACAAGTTTAAAAACACATTTCTGGATGATTTCAGGTGTTAGTTTTGCCCTGAGAGGTTTTAGATGCAGTCAAAAGACAAACAGTGACATCTAGTGGCTAAAATATGTAACTGCAACAACAAGGCTGCATTTTTGTCTTTTTATTTTTTATAATCAACCACCAATTTTGAAACGGTTATGAAAGCTCTGTAAATTGTTTGAGATGTAAAAAGTTTAGGTTTCTTTGTCTTTATTTACCTTTTTAAAACTCATCCCTGAAGGTGACGTGCCGCTCCTTCAACAAAGCCTGTGACCTGAAAGTGAGGAGCTACACCTGCTACTGCTGCTACCTGTACAACTGTGACAAGTGAGATGCTCGGACCCAATCATTGCATACGTGTTACATTTTACACACCCTTCATGGTGTTAGGTAGTGAGGAAACAGTGAAGAGAGGAGGAAGCGGTAAAAACAGCATCATATCATAGATATCAGAATCTTCACTAATTCTTGTCTATTTTTCAGCAAATAACTTTTATGAAAATTGTTTTCTTCATAAAACATTTCTGGTTTTTTGCAAATATTTTAACTATGAGATCATAATGAGCAGCCTAAGGGATTACATTAACTAATAATGGACATCAAAACAATTAAATACAAAACTGACATTTTTGCTTGATCATTTAAAAAAAGAACCTGTCAGTGACTGTTGTGCACATTTTTTCCAGCCAGTTGGTTTGAAAGGAGGTTTTGAACATAAATAATCATAAAAATCTGTGTATTATGGCACATGATATATCCCTGGTTCACATCTTCCAGCAACGAGTACAGCCCTCACTACTATGAGTTCACCGGGGTTGGAAGCTGCTGGGACGTGATCCATCTGCACCGGCTGTTGTGGTCCTCGGTGGTGCTCAACGTTATCGGTTTGTTCTTGGGCATCATCACTGCTGCCATCCTCGGAGCGTACAAAGATACGGTGAGCAGGAGGCCAAGGGCGACCTTTTGGAGTAAAAAAGTTGCAGTCTGAGTTTGGAATGAAAGAAATGTAATATCCCATGTGGATGGCAAACGTTCACCATTTTAATCATACTTGTGGCTTTTTTGAAGTTTATAGTTCATGCTTCACATTGTTTAAACCTCGTCAGCAAATATTTTAGTGATCTACGTTGGAGATGTGAAAATCTTTCTGAAACAGGAAGCTAGTCTCCTTTTGGTCCAGAACTGAAACTCTGCTGTTTCCTGCAGCAAAAGCCCGCTCGTCCGGTTGCTCCCAGTCCGGCGCCACCGCCTCACATCCTCTACAACCCTACCCAGCACATGCTCAGCTACACCGGTTTCTGTCCCCCAGGACAGGCCCTGCCAGCCTACCCAAACTATCCCATTCCCATGCAGGTAGGTGGCTCCAACCAAGCGCTCCGTATCTACACCAGTGACCAAAAATGAAAAAGCCTCTGAAGATGGGATCATGCAAAATGGTTCCTTCAACATAACAGTTGGGTTGAATCCAATGTGGTGATTATCTCAATTTAACGTTTTCTGCAAAAAAATGCAAATCAAACCTGATGCTAAAAGATTTGGATGATCTCTAAAAGATGCAGCTCTAGCCCTGATGCCTTACTTAAATGTAAAACACAACCAATTGTTTTTTTTTCACCTATAATTTACAATATTAGTGTTAAAGAACTCAAAATGTTTGCTATGATAAAACTGGGCATCTGTTTGATGCTTTGAAAGAAACATATTTTTAAAATGTTTTAAAAATCTTTTGGGGTTTTCCATTGGCTGCAGAAAAGATGAAAAAACACTCCTTAGATAAAAACTTCCAGTTATTTCCCTCCCCATTTTACCTCCTCCACAGCATACCAACTACCAGTCACCTTCTACTCCCCAGATGATGTCTGAAGGAGGCCTCAGCTCTTGTTCCTCTGAGGACAACCAGAACCAGCAGCCCCCTCAGGTTCCCACCCAGCCACAGCCTCAGGGAACCACCCAGGACCCCGGAGGCTACATGCTGACTCCCAACGCTCCCGTCCTCTACTCATCCTCATTCAGCCCCTTTGAGAAACCTCCTCCGTATGCCTGCTGAGCTCCGACGTTGAGAGGTCCTACTGGACGTAGCACAAGACTTTGTGTGTGAGCTTCACACGTATATTTAAGTTCTTCGTCTGCATGTGTTCTATGGACTTTCTCTGATCACGTGACCCGAGTTGTCATTAGTGGAAACAAGCTAATTCACTTTGTGTCAAGTTAAGAAAAAAATGTCCCAGAAATGCCTTTAAGTTCTAGTTCTAAGTCAGAGTTTTTGGTTATTTTTGATGAGTGTGTTGGAGTAATTTCTCAGTCATTCAGTCATTCAGAGTCATTTTAACATTCTTTAAGATGTTTCAGCTCTTTTCCCAAAAGGTTTCCGCTGGTTTTTATTCTCTGTATGAGCTTTAGGTGTGGAACACTTGCTTAATCAATACATCTGCAGTAGTGATGTGTCGTCGCGAACGAACCGGCTCTAAGAGCCGGCTCTTTGAAGTGAACGATGGGAGCCGGCTCGTCATTGGGAGCCGTCCCCTCCCCTCCCCCTCCCCTCTTGCTTTGGTGCAAGCTACAGGTCACCATGTGTAACTGCGTGTCCAGACTGTCCACACACAGAGCAGTAGGGGCGGGGAAGAGGGAGGATCAGATTCAGACACACAGCAGAGAACATGCGAGTGGAGGGAGACGAGAGAGAATGAGGAGGAGGAGGAAAAAGGAGAGCGAGAGAGAGGAGAGTGCGACGAAGACTGTGAGAAAATGAGCGCCAGCAGTCGGAAAGTGTAGATTTCTTAAAGTGTTCAGTTATTAAATCCATAGAAATGATAAATATTTGATATATTGCATTTTTTTTACATTAGTAAATAATTTTACATATAGTTTAGCATTATTTTGGTTAAAAATGTACTCTACGCAACAGAAAATCTGAGGAGCCACTAGGGAGCCGAAAGAGCCGGCTCTTTTTGGTAAGCTGAGCCAAAAGAACCAGCTCTCTAAAAAGATGAAGCTCCAGTGTGCCGGTTTCAGGAACTAGAAGTGAGCCAGATCAGAGCTGAGCTTAAGGTGACAGGATTCGGAGTCTTATTTCCTGATATTTGGACATCTCGCCTCTGACTGGCAAACAGCAGCGTGACTCTACCACTGACTTTTTAGCTTTGCAGCGTTGCTGTTTCATCTCCAAAAACAACTAAAGCCTGGAGAAGTTCTGCTGTGTGGCAGAGTTGCTAATGCTAACAGTCAAGACGTTCTCTGTTGTGTCCTAGACCCTAAACCGACCAAAGCCTTCCCCGTCGCGAGTCAAGATGGGTGAGTCCATGAATGTTAAGTGAATCCAGCGTCTATTTTCAAAGAGATTATGTTTATGTATTTAGCAGACGCTTTTGTCCAAAGCGACTTACAGATTAGGAGACTACTCTCATGTTCAGCCTGCCTGCATGAAATCTGAGGGAATTTAATTTGAAATAATTATTTTTCTGTTTTCCACACCTTTAAATGTATTCAAGCTTCAAGAGACAAATCCTTTTGAGAACACCTAATGGTAATTAAAAGTAAAACTTAGAGCTATCAGAAAGATTTTAGTACTTTCTAAATGTCCAACAGACTGTTTCTGTATAACTGAGGATCTTCTCATCTTGGTTTGGTTTTTATCTTAGACAAAAAAGCGGAGAAGACAAAAAACGAACCTGATTCTGTCTAAAAATACTCTTTTCTTCTGATCAGCATTATTTATTTTATAATAACTGCAGATCCACTAAGCAAATTTCTACCATCTTGAGTTTAAAGCTGGCTTTAAGATTTTATACATTTGTTAATGTGTCGTAGATCTGGGGCTTCATGTTTCCTCTCACCATTTTATTTACATTACAAATAAACAAAAGGGCTTTGGTGAAATGTGAACGGGATAACTGATGCTTATATTTGTTTGCTAATCATTAAATGTGCACTTTAGTCAGTATGCTGTATGTATTAATGGTGTGTGTGAACTGCTGCTGCTATCAAATCTGTTGTGTGTGTGAAACACTGTGCAGTAAGGGCTTGAAAGGTATTTTGCATTTAAAAGAAGAGTTTGAAACTTTTGGGAAAACACAGAATTTGTTTTCTGAGCTTCAGGCGGGAGAACTGACGAGCTAAAGGGAAAACCAAAGCTCCTGGACAAATTAAAGGCAAACAAAAAGACCTGGGATAGGACGACAGCTGGGAATGTTCTGGCTAAAACACAAACCGAATACGTGAGAAGTTCAGTATTAAAACACGCTGGAGTGAATCCCTCCCTCGTGTGAAAGGAAAACATCTGCATTTCCCATAAACTCTTTATGAATCTAACCAGGACTAACTTAACTGCATTTTTATTTATTTCATTCATAAGCAATAAAATGTGCTCCTGCTTAAATCTGTGTCCTTTAGTCTTATTTAAGAAGCTGTTATGTTCTTCGAGCTCTTCTCCACTTATGCAGATGTTTGCTGTTAATAAGACACGCCCTTTCCTGATGTCCATACAGCTGATTTTATTTTTAAATAGGATTTTTACAGTTGAGGGAAGTAAAAGCTCAAAAAAAGCAGACTTGGCTCTTGCATCAAACACGTACTGGCAGTTTAAAGTGGAACACACGAGAAAAGATCAAAGATGCAACATATATGGTAAAAAATAATACAAACATCAAGCTTTTATTAGCATTCATTCAACAGAAAACTATAAAAACAAACCATCAAACAGGAAGGTAAAATAACACTGGAGCCCTTTGGCATTCTAACTTTCTCCCACATTCATGGTTTGGGATTTTGATTTGCTCAGCACCGATAAATTAAAGAGTTCCTAAGAACTGATTCTACTCTGAACCCCGGCTATTGCTCTCTGTGTCTTGTGATGCTTCTGCATCGAGAAGACGACAACAGACATTCCCGAAAACGTTCTCGGATGGAGAAATTGCAATTTTTGTTGTTGACTGTGCATGAAACCTCAGGGAGCAGAAGGTAGGGTTTGCGTTTGTGTTTTCTAAAGCATTGTACAATCACAATATTTACATACACAGTATATTACAGAGCACTCATCGTCATCTCAGTAGCTTTTGTGGTGCGAGTAGTAAAGCAGTGCTTTGTCTCCCCTTCAGGGAGGGCCCCTGTGCTTCTGTGGCTAACGTCTGGAGTGTGGCAGCATTTAACTGTGACGGGGAGAAAGTTTGTGATTACAGACCAAGAACCAGTCAGTGCTGGGAGTAAGTACATGTTATTGGATGTTTGTGGGGTTGTTACAGCACTGCAGCGTTGGGAGATGCTCCACCTATTAACACGGCAGATGTTGGCGGTTCTTGTGTAGGCACATGGTTGATATTTAAGGCTGCAGGTAGACAAGGAGCGCTGCTCTAATGGTGAGGAAATCTTAAGTGACTTTACAGCGCGGTCCGTTTATACCTGCAACAATGTGCAACGGCATCTACAAAGACACAAAGCGGCGCCTCGATGCTGGAGCTCATAAGGAGGGTTCAGCATTTGGAACGCACCTATTGATTACAGTAGCTGATGTAGAACAACTTATCTGATCCTCTTTGTTTGTCCCGACATTAGCACATATTTTGCGAATATGGACACGAGGCGACCACTGACCCCGAAACCAAAGTTTTACCACTAATCTGGATTAGACCCTGTGATGAGGCTGGGATAAAAGGGCAGTTGTTATGGGACATTTATTGCCATATCCTTTGCTGAGAGAAATAGTAAATACCCCAGCAGATGTTTCCAGGCAGCACTGCCATCACAGTTCGGAGGAAAGAAGGAGGCGATTCTGTGCGAAGACTTCAGCTGCATCATCTGTTAACATGTTTAAAAGGATATTTAAATATAAAACATCTCCCCGCTTGTCAGAGCTTTTAGAAATCTAGTGGATGTTATCCCCGTTGCCTCAAATAAATGGACCGGTTTGGGTTAACTCAAGCACTGCTCACTGGTGGGAGTCCAGCAGGGGGCAGGAGTGTGAGCGGATGTCATTGTGTTTATGAACGGCTCGGTCCAGGTCCAAAGCCCGACCGTTCACGCTGACCTCCATGCAGCCGCTGTAGGGTGCCGACACCACCGTGGACACAAGGGAAACATCTGAGAGGGGAAACAATGAGTCGTGAGACGGCACAGCTGTGTTCCAACAGGCAGCTTGAAAACGCGACCCAGTTCCTGCAGAAGTGTGTGTCCTCACCTGGAAGGCCTCCTATATAGGTGGTGGAATGCGAGAAGAGCTCGGTGGGAACTTCTACGTCGTCGCTTTGTGCCGTCACGCCGTCGACCAGCAACAGGGTCTGGTTGCCTGAGATGGTCACCTGGATATTATGGCGCTCACCATCACAGGAGAACACACGAGAGCTGGCAGTGACGATGTTACCTACGGAAACCACAATGACCTGAACACAAACAGAAGATCAGTTTCTAGAACAATCAAAGCACGTGGTTTGGTGTTTTACTCACATCTCCCCACTCGTCTGATGTGGGATTATAATCAGAGAGGCTGATGGAGAGAGGCACTTTGTCCTGGTAAACCAGTGCAAACAGCACCCCCGTAGCAGAGACTGGGCGCACGCTCATCTGGATGCTCAGGTTTTTTGATTCTGAAGTGGAGACATGAAGAACTTTAACAACAAAGCAAAATCAGATGATGTATAACACACACCCACACTACCGTAGCTGATGTTGAAGAGGGCGAAGCCTGTTCCGGGGTAATACGCTCCAGGATCCTCAGGGCTGAAGCACTGCATGTTTTCATTGGATCGAATGGTTTCCTGGATGGAGGTATCTTCACCCGTCAGCCAGCGCCACTCCTTCATGCAGCCGTCCAGACGAGGGTTTATCTACACGACGCACTCCAAGTTATGATAGTCGAGAACTACTCCAAGAGCATCGACGTGTGGTGCATATTCGGAAAAGGAAACAAGCACATACAAACAAACACCTGATAGACGAGGCCGTCTTCTTTGAAAGGGACTCCTCCTACTGTCAGGTTGAGCTCGTGCATGCCTTTCTTCAGCGTGAACAGATCACCGTTCACAGCGATCTTCATCACGGCCTCCCTGTCGATCTTTATCACCAGACTCCGGCCCTGCTCCTCCACGGAGATCTGGGAAAAGCAGAAACATTCCAGAACATTCCAGTCAGCATGTTTATCAGTGTGTAACGGCTGCTGGAAGAGTTACCCTCCCCAACCTTTCTCCACTGGCCATCGTTGACGACGGGGCCGCTGCTGGTCACTCTTCCGATGGCGCCGTACTTCAGCTGCAGCTCCAGCTTCCCACGATGCATTGCCAGCACGATCCAAGAGCTGTCCAGGTGACCTCCCGCGAAGAAGATCACCCCCTCGTGATCGTACGTGCGAAAGTCGAATTCAGCTGAAAATCTAATAGCAGCAGAGGGACGGAGAAGAAAGTTAGAATATTGCTTTGAAACAAACACACTCGCCAAATTAAACTATCAACAGCCTACAGCTAGCTAAATATTTTTACTTGGTTTCACTGCTCCATTTGGAGAACTGCCGTGCTTTAACACAATTACATCTTTTACTAAAGCCGCCTCAGCAAACAACAATGACTCCAGTTGCTCATATTTGTGTCACAGTAAGTAAGTATAATCCTCACCCTGTGTGAACCTTGCGGCGAAAACGCAGCCGCACCACTGGCACGGCGCTAAACATGCGACCAAGGTAAAGAGAGCGGGGGTTCCTCTTCAGGGACGGTGACATACAGGGAGTTATCAGCTGCAACACAAACGAAAACAATGAGAATTTTATTATTTTTAATAAAGAACTGCCTGAAATTCCTTCTCTGACTCCTCTAAGGTACAAATATGTCATCTAAATAAACGCTAAGGACAAATCAAGTACTTTTAAACGGATCTTCATCTAGTCAGGTTAATAAACAACAAAAATGATTGTTCTGCACCTTGCAGCTCCTCAGATCACCTCCCAGCTTCATGCCCCGACGACCATCACAGAAGCAACGGAAACTCCCTGGAGTGTTCAAGCACTCGCCTTCACACACACCGGACTCACACTCATCCACATCTGAGAGGGAGAGACGGATGTTTGTGGTGTAATGATGAAGGAGAGGCGGACAGTTCAGGAGCTTATACGAGAAATATCAAAACGTCATTTTCACGAGACTGCATGGGAAAAGATAAATCATCAGGAGAAGGAATGTGAAGCACACTTGAGTGAAGTGGTGACTGATGCTGTAGAACGTCCTTAAATGGCCAAGAGGAGATCGACTATAATAGATATTAATTCTCCGAGGAGGAACCGAGGTTATGGGAAGTCCAGTTCCCGTCGCAGAGGAAAAACATGGATTTTAGAAACCCATCCTCTGATTATGGGGATGTTTATTTTTTAACTTAAGAGGATTTTAGATTTTATATCTGATCTGTACATCTAGAGCAGGCAGTAAGATCTTAAATGCATCTAGTAATGTGCTATTTTTTTTAATATTTTAATGCAACAAAGGTTTTTTTTGTCTATTGGCTGACTGGAAAACATTCAGTGGTGACCTGTTACCTACTTGTGCAGAATTTCTCCAAATATGTTTGCTTTCTTTTCCCAACCCCCCCACCACGGAGCTCCACCGGGCCCAGCTGAGGCTTAAACATGTGTCTCAGGCTGTGTTTTTGTCCCTGTTCTCCCTCGTGTTTCATTCATGTAGCGCATGGTTTGTTACACACGCTTACCAACACAGCTTTTACTCCCGTTGTCGTAGGCGTAGCCGATGTCGCACAAGCAATCGTAGCTGCCCACGTAATTCTCACAGCGGGCCGTTCCACACACACTTACATCCTCACACTCGTCAACATCTAGAAAAACAAAGAAGTTCAGCTTTGTTTCATGATCAGTTCCAACAGGGAGGTCAGTGATGCGTTACTAAACAGATTTATTGACTTTATTATGAAAAATACTTCAAAATAAAACTCAACATAGTTCACTTGTGTTTTAACACATTCTCAGTGGTCTCTAATATGAATTAATGGTTCATGAGTTGATCTCTGTGGGGGGAAAGCTCTCACGCTCTTGTTTTAGCGGGTAGAAGTGAGCTAGAGTAGGGAGCTGAACATGGCAGGATTTGGAGTCTTACTTCCTGATATCTGGATATCTCACCTCTGATTGGCTAACAGCAATGTGACTCAACTACTGACTCCATTGGTTCTGAAATGTTGATGTTTTATCTCCACAAATAACACAAGCATGAAGGAGTTCTGCTGTGTGGTGGAGTTGCTAACGCTAAGAGTTAGCTTCTCCTAGTCAAGGCATGCTCTGCTGTTTCTTGGATGCTAAACAACAGCCTTCCCAGGTGAGCCCATGAATGCTAATTTCGAATGAATGCTAACGATGTGACGTGCAATTAGCAGGCTTTTCTAATCGGAGCGTAGTAGAAAAGCGGGCAAGACACTTAACCCACCTTACCTGCTAGTGGTGGTGGTCGGAAGGATTGGTTAACTTCTACTAGCAGTGGTGAGCTCTGCTCTCTCCTGGATGCTAAAACAACACCTGCCTTCCCGGTCACGAGCCAAGATGAGTGAGTGACAGCGTCAGATAGACCTAACTGAATTTTCTAATCCAAGTGCTTCCCCTTCTATTTTGGATCAGCTGCTAAAGCAGGAAATAGGGGTACAAGACTATGTTCACATTCAGCCTGCATGTGACCGATCATATTTCAAAAACAAGTAAAAAATGGTTTCTTTGTAAACTTGCAATGTAGGACTTGAAGTCAGTGTAAAGCTGTTAAACCAGCTGCAGCTCTACGTAACTCCAGCTGTTAGAGTGGCTCACCGTAACACACGTGGCGCCCGACCAGCATGTAGCCCTGGTGACAGGAGCAGCGGTAACTCCCTATGGTGTTGTTACACTCCTGGTCACAACCTCCATTTCCATTTTCGATGCACTCATCGACATCTGGAAGAGGAACAATACCGATGTTAACATGAAACCAGGACAAAAAGGCAACCTGTGAAGAAGATTTCTTGGATTGGGCTTTAATTATTACGTAGCCCGAATTGGTGTTACGAGTCATCTCACTTTAAAAACCTTTACAAACAACTAGAAAACTCTGGCTAAGGACTAGAGCAGACGTATGAGAAGCAGAGATGTCATCAACTGGAAAAAGTTCAGCCCAGAGTGAACAGAGCTCTTAAAGGATCCTCTCATGTACGGTGAGGTAGTATGATGAGTCATAGTGGAAAAGTTCCCGTCTGCTTATAAACAATTATTCCATATATTTCCTCTCTAACGCTCATTTTCTCAGGTCAGAATAAAAAAAAAAGTATCTTCTTTTAAATTCAAGCACATGAACAAGCTTTGACCTCTAAGAGGGATGCATTCCTGATCTGTGACTGCCGTTCCTGCTCACTGACTTCACACTGACCCGACAAATAATTCACACCCTTAAAAACTGGCTAGATATTAATAAGTGTGTCACCAAAAAAGCTTTTTTAAAGAATACAGGTGAAGATGAAACCAAGAATCGACTTTCACGTAGCTGCAGTGTCTCATAGTCAAACCTAAAACACAAGTGGAAGAACAGCGACAGGAAGTGGGATCTTTGAATCCAGAACTCGGATGAGCTGCTGTTGCTGTCAGAGCCAAGGTCAGAACATCTGTGCACCGACGCTGCAAAAATCCCCACTCTGCTGAGCTCTAGCACAGAACTATGTGATGATGATGATGGTGGTAGTACCGTTCTCACAGCTGGCTCCTGTCCAGCCGGTGAAACAATGACAGAGGAAGTCACCCTTTTTGTCCTCACAGCGCACCGTACCTCTGGCGTTACAAGGAGAAGGGGAGCACTGGTCTGGGATATCTACAGAAAAACAAGAGCAGCGGATTATTTGGTGCTTTTTTAGAAACGGAGTGGATGAAACGGATCTGCTGGAGCGTAACCGTAGATCAGAGCAGACAGAGGAAGGGTACCCATCTGTGCATCAATAACTTCATGCTGGCTAAGCTGGCCTTCTGGAGGTGTCCAAACTATTATTCTCACTGTAAGTCATCTCAAATTAAAAAGAGGTCAAAAAGATCTTTTAAAAAAATGTTTGCATTACTTATCTGATAAATATTTCCACTTGAACCCTCTCTAACTCCTGGCTTGCGTAAGAGAACATAAATCTTCCCTCTCTTGCTTCGGTTTCCTTCTCTTAAGAGCAGTTTGACTCGGACATGTCTGGGCATGTTAGCCCAGACTCAAAAGACATCAAAAGGACAGGAAAGCAGAGGCAAGTTCACATATGGAAACCCCCGAAAACGAAACGATCCATTATTTGATTTCAGTTTAACTCAGCAGCTTCATATTAAAAAATACAACTTTGAACCAAAAACATTAATAATAAGCACCAGACTTTTATTTCTCTTTCAGAGTCAGTCAGAAACCAACCTGACTCCTTGAGAAGGGGCAAAAGATGCTGAATGTCAGTAATGGAAGTGGATTTCCAAATAATGTGATGAGTGTGTGGCTGAGTCCATTTACTCAGCAGAAAAAAAAAACATTCAGCACAGAAAACATTAAAGCTGCAGCATCAGAATAAATCTTTATAGCTAGTTTATAATAATCAAGGCAGTGTGGTGGCTAATTTCTAATTATTGCAAATTTATTAGTTCTTTAATATGAATTTTTTATTAATTTATACACCTCATAATGAAGATTAAATGCACCCAGTTTACCCAACCAAGGTGTGCCCAGTGAATTAGTGTTCTGCATTGCAGTGAGCAGAAGCAGAGAAGAGTCAAATGACATTAGCATAGTTAAAAAAAAGTGATGAGAAAGAGATGGTGTGCTTGCCGATGGTGAAAGCACCGTATCTGTAAGCGCCCACAAAGCTGCAGCTGAGTCATGAAACGGGCTGGAGACTGCACAGCCAATAGCAGCGAAGCCAGGTCGGTCCACGTCTCTTGTATCCTGATGCAGCAAAAAAATCCTGCCCTCTACTCACATCACCCCTTCACGCAGCCAGCTCACGAAGAGGCTGGTGCAGTCACGCAAAGAGTGGGTGTGTGTGACGCCAGAGGGGGTGTGTCACTCATTCAGCAACGTGCAGCATCGGTGTAGAAAAAAAAAAAGCTGCAGTTTGACTCCATCCCTTGGGCTTGGATCCAACCAGCCCACAACAAAAAGTCACAGAATCCGTTAGATGTGTCATGCTGCAAAGAGTGACCTGGATTTGCTTTAAAGAAATAAAAAACATAAGAAGAGCATGCCTGGGAGAGGTGCAGAGAGGTGTTACTGCAGTGCAGCACACACACACACACACACACACACACACACACACACACACACACACACACACACACACACACACACACACACACACACACACACACACACACACACACACACACACACACACACACACACACACACACACACACACACACACACACACACACACACACACACACACACACACACACACACACACACACACACACACACACACACACACACACACACACACACACACACACACACACACACACACACACACACACACACACACACACACACACACACACACACACACACACACACACACACACACACACACACACACACACACACACACACACACACACACACACACACACACACACACACACACACACACACACACACACACACACACACACACACACACACACACACACACACACACACACACACACACACACACACACACACACACACACACACACACACACACACACACAACATTTCTGTCTCTGAATGTAGAAAACTGAGAAAATAGTGTGAACACTTACTGTGAACACAGGTGATCAGATCCTGTTTTTTCTTTTCAGAATCACCAAACTTCTCCACACAGGCTGGGAAGAAAAAAGGCAAAACTGATTGCAAAAAATGAAAAAGATGACAAGCATTGCATCAATCAGGCCAGCTGAAGCGAGCGAGCCTGCAGGGTTTTAGATGGAACGAACACTCACCTGTATACTTGGGATAAAAGTAGTCCTGCATGGGGGAGAAGAGATGGGAGATGGTCAGAGTTCCAGACATAAAAACACAAATCTAAACCAGACACAGTCTAAATAAACGGCGGGGTTTGCAGGATTTGTCAACTCTGTTCAACTCCTCATATTTGTGTGTCAGATCTGGACTGAGATGACTTTGCTCTGCTTTGTGTAACGAGCTGCAGAACTTCCTGCATTCCTGAAACCTGTAGCATCTCTCACGCTTGCTGACTGCAGCACTCCTCCTCCAGATGCAGATCAACGTTTTGAAGATGAAGCAATAAAAATGTCTCAGAACCACACAGTTTGCTACCAGGGAAAAAATGGTGAGTTTTAAAGCCAGATTTAAGTTGGAAACAGATCCACCACATCCAGCCAGATTACATCCATGATTTGATTTAATGAAACAGATTGGTAAGCCGATTCTTATACGTGTAGTACAGCTGTATCTAAATTTCATACTAAAAGTCACTTGTGTGATCCTCTAAGGTCTCTGAACAGTTTAACAACTTGTACAGGATGCAAAGGATAACCCAGGAAAGCCCTACTCTCGCTCTCCGTCTCTGCAGAGCCAAAAAGCTGCAGCAGAAAGGAAATTGCAGAGTCAGAGATGGGAACCTTCTGAATGAATAATGCAGCTAAGAATGATGCTGCAGTTCTGTGTAATGAAATGGTTAAAGAACGTCAACCATTCAATCCTCTCCTTGCTCCAAGACAAAATATTTCTACATGCACCACATCAATGTGTTCTAATGCCACCTGACTTCCCATTTTTCTCTCTCAGTCCTGCAGACTGGCGCTTTAATCCTTTGTCTTTTCTGTTCTCCCTGAGCTCCCAACCTCTTGACAAAAATAATCTGAGTCACTGATTGCCTGACTTAGTCACTCTCAGTTCACTACGTCAAATCCCAAATCTCCAGTTAAAGGGCAGAAGGTTTACCAGCCTCCTTGGACTGTTCTCACTTATTAATCCCAATCGTGCAGCTTTAATCAACATTCCACAGGCACATGCAGGTAAAAATAGCTCACAGATACGAATTAATAAGCCGAGTTTCACATCGACTATTAATATCCCTGAAGCTTGCTTGACTATTTTTCACACATTGGGCATATTTAAGAGGCTTACAGATACTAATCTGCTGCAAATATTCACAAGTGCACATTTTAGTTGGGGCCAACTGTTAAGAGCAAGGGGAATGAAGGTGGGAGCATGCTCTTCAGATTAGTGGTGCCTCTTGTTAATTTTCTAGTAGTAAAAACGGCAGATTAAATTGAAATGGTCACGATTTGAAGGTTTTGCATGCATCCGTGCACACTGTACTTGTGCAAAACTTCAGTGACTCCAAAGCTGAGGAGAAATTCAGAGAAGATTTCCAGATGTTTCTTCCATAGATAAGCTTTGGTTTAATGGAAAATGCTGTTGTGAGTGTCAAACTAGTAGTGTCACCATAAAAGCTGAAAATCCCAAGCGATGGTTATTCAGGAGGACTCGATCAGTTTTTGTCACACAGGCTAAATAAATAAATAAATAAAGTGTTGCCAGTCGTTTTGGACAAAAGCGTCTGCTAAATACATAAACATAAACAAGCGTGCTGCCGACTAGCGGGTCCCAGGACCCAAACAACCAGTCTAGTCATTAACGTACTATCAGTTTGAATAGGGCACCTTGTGAACTAGCATCTAGCTGGTAGTAACGATTACAGCTTTATAACTTTGGCCTGCAGAAATATATTTAAAACAATTTATTCTCACAGTTTCAGGGTCGTTTTCAAAAACTTCTCTGGCCTCCTCCTTGGAGCACCTCTCCTCCACACACTCCCTCTCCAAGTGTCCTTGTTTCGTCTCCTCGAAGACTTGATTTGCCCTCCGGTGTCTGCTCAGGAACTGGCTCGCCTCTTTAGGAGACATTAAAACTAGAGAAGAACACCAAAAGTTTGTTAACTTAACACAACGTTGTTGACTAAGCAGGGAGAGAAGCGCTGCCAAAAAGGAGGGGACCACGACTTAACTATTAATCCTCAATATTAGCGAGCTAGCTCGTGCCATAGCACGCCAGTGTTTACTCACAGCTGCCGGAGACGGGAGCTGCCAGCAGGATTATTAGCAGGGAAGCCGAGGAGAGTGACTTTGTCGGGGTCAGCCGCATTGTTGAACCGCTGAAGTGGCGCCAAGCTCGGGTAACTTACTCCTGTCACCGTGTTGCGGTCTCTCAGCCCGCTAACGTCGGTGTGAGACACCGCAGGTACTCAGGTGGGTACGCAGCTCCTGCCGAGAGCGGAGCAGCCCCTGATGCCGCGGAGTCTCGCGTGCAAACCGGTGCTTCACTACACGGACAGAACGTCTCGAGCCGTCCTCTTCGGTTCAGCTCGTCCCCATGGCGACGTGGATGGACTTTGTCTCGACCTCTGTGGATTGAGTGCGAAGACGGACTTGCTGCTGCTGCTCTGTGAGGGGGAGTTGCTCTGAGGCAGGAGTTTGTGATGATGCAGTCAGTCACCTTCATCCCTCCCTCTCCTGTCCTGGGCGTGCGTGTGTTTAACACACACACACACACACACACACACACACACACACACACACACACACACACACACACACACACACACACACACACACACACCTGCAAAAATTAAACTTTTATTCCAGCACTTATGTTTACTAATTTAAGCACTAGGTAATCACACAAGAACTGATGATTTACCTTATACACAATATTAAAAAAATTAGACAGAAAAATATCTAGAAATAAAGACTACATCTAAAACAAATAAACAACAAAATATCAAACTTAAGATGACATTTGGAAGTGCATTATTTTAAGTATTGTCTGCACTAAACTGAGCTTGTTTCACGCTCCAAAACATTTTTGAAATTCAGATAATGAGACTACTGGGTTCAAACAAAACAGACCTTTCATTTATTGTTGTTGATGTTATTTGGTTGATAAATTTTTTTAAGATTTTAAAGCTTACTTTTTTCTGTTGTTAGTCGAAAAATATTTAAATAATTACAAATTAACAAAAAGTTAAAGGGGCATTATGGAAGTCTGACAGCCAAAATATGTATAGAAATAATAAAATTCTTCTTAATACATTCTCCTGCAATGCCCTGGTCCTGTAGAATGAGCCCTGGCATTTTTACTGTGATTGCCTGTTTTTCTGTAAAATCACAGAAAGAGAGCTGCTCAGGTCGAGCAGGCTGCTTCATGCACGTTCACACTCAGGCATAGCCCTCTGAACCGTGACGTCACTGACGTGGTAGCTCACCTAGTGAAGCTTGGTTTATGCTTGAGGTATTTACTTTCCGCTTGGTGATGCGGCTCGCGGATGGAACGCGCTTCACAACTTGCAGCGTTTATGGTTCATGCGGCTTGTCTTTGCGGTGAGCCAATATTCTCCCAAACTGTAGGGGGTAGCATGGAGCTCTATGGCATGCATCCAACACTACACCATAGTTGAAGTAGAAATTACTGTTTACAACATGGCATTCCAGCATTTTTTTAACAGCATCCTTGTCTTTTCTGACAGTGCGAGCTATTTCTCTCCAAGAATTATTAACAACATGTTGATCAAGGTGATCTTTGAGAGCTGAATCATACAAATGTCTGTATTTACGAACCTCTGCCATACTAGTTCTTGCCAGTCCACCATGTTTTTCCGCGTCCGACCATCCGCGTGGTTAGAAAATTTCCTAGGTGCGCGGTACGGAAATTTTGGGCCGTGCGGAGGCGCGGTGGAGGGGCGTGGTTATTAAAATGACGCAACTTTTCCACGCGGAGCCGTGCGGACCTCGCGGACGCGTCAAGCATAAACCAACCTTAAGATGCCGGACTTTCGTGCAGAAGACCCGGGTTCGGTTCTGGATGTGAACATAGTTTATTTAGAGTTTCTTTTTTACATTAATAGTATATTTTTTTTACAGTAAGATGCCCAAATTTTTATTTGAGACTCGCCAAACGGCATTGAATTCACGGATAAAAAAGATGTGGGTTCAACTTTCATTTTGGAACAATTTTTCAAGAACATGCAGGAGGACTGACCCATCTTAAACCTTTGTCAGCTGTGCTGAAGAGAAAGGTACAGAACCAAATTAGCTGCGCGTTCTCCTGTCCTCTGTCCTCCGGGCCACACACACACACACACACACACACACACACACACGGAGCTGACTGTCTCAGCTGTTATTTTCGTTAAGGAGTGTGCATGTACAGCATGCGCGCCTCGTGCACGAGCCTACTATTGAAGCTGCCGTTACGCTTTTGGCCTGAGGGGTCAATTGCGAGCATAAAAGTTCAAAACTCCATTAAGTCCCTTTAAAATGCCTAGAAATGACATCTAATTCATCCAAAGTACACCTTCCTCTCTTTTCTAAAAGAATTCAGATTTTACAATGTCAGAAAAGTCCCAATTTCATTATGATAAAATTATGCATTTAGTCATGGGAAAATGTCAGGCAATTATTGATTAAAAAATACCCCATTGGTATTGGGCTGTGACTTTATTTTGGTTTATAGTAGCCAATTAGATTCTGATTCATGTTATTAAATTATTTTAAAAAAAATCATAATTTTTTCTAAGTTATGAACCGTTTACTTGTGCCACCCTTGTCCAAATTTGTGCCCTACCTGGCCAACCCGCCTAGACATGCCACTGTTAACAATGTTTATTTTTTTATCACCATTAATTTAAGGTGTGGGACACTGAAAACCCATTTTTTCATGATTATTCCTGATTATTATTGGCCACTCTGACTTTATGATGCAGGCTGAATATGAAAATAGACTCCCACAGCTATCTCCTGCATTAGCTTCTGATAGAAAATAGACGGTGAAATTTTAGGGTTTGAAAAGCGTGACAGATATATGTCACACTGTCACTTGAAGGTTGACTATGGAACACAAACACCATAGCGACATCTAGTGTGTGGAGGTTGTAGTTGCAAGAATAGAACAAGGTTTCCAGCCCTCAGGATGTCAGGTTCATTGCTGATATATGAAGTGACCAGTCATCCAGGCCTGTGTTATTTGTGGAGATAAAACATCAACGTTGCAAGATATTTGTGGAGTTGCATTGCTGTTATCCAATCCGAGGCAAGATGTCCAAACATCAGGAAATAAGACTCGCAAACCTGCTGTTTGAGACTTGCATTACCACCCTTGCGCCCCTCAGTTGCGCATTCCCATCCAGGGGTGAAAGTGCGTAGGGTGTCCAAATTCTGAAATGCGGATATTGACCACGCCCCTTTTGCACGCTTGATCCGCATATACAGTATGTGAACTTGGTGAAGGGTATAACCCACAATCCATTGTTGCGTGGGAATTTTGAAAAGAATGAGGAGCACTGGCTGAAATGCCTTTTCTGAAAAAATGTTGTTTCAAATGAAAGAAAGTCATTGTAACATGATTCATATTTATTCATGCTCCAAGTGTTTTAGACTAAGATTTAATGTGGACAGCAATGAATGTCAATTTTGTCAAATAATTATTTGTTTGTTTGAAAGTTGTTAAAGATTTTTTTTAAGTAGCACAAACAGCAACCAGCATCCTGGCATGCGTCACAGTCGATGATGCAATGCTCATTGTCTCACACACACACACACACACACACACACACACACACACACACACACACACACACACACACACACACACACACACACACACATATATATATATATATACATATATATATATATATATATATATATATATATATATATATATATATATATATATATATATATATATTAGTGCCTATCTCCAGCAATCTACGGGTAATCAGGCGGGGTACACCCTGGACAGAGTGCCAGTCGATCGCAGGGCAACACAGAGACACACAGGACAAACAGTCATACACACACACACTCACACCTAAGGACAATTTAGACAGACCAGTCAACCTAACAGTCATGTTTTTGGACTGTGGGAGGAAGCCGGAGTACCCGGAGAGAACCCACGCACACGCCATTGTGCAGTGAGACGTAGACAATCACAGCAAAAACCCAGGAGATATATCTTAAATTGTTTTTCATGTCATTCATTTCACCTTCAGTAATATAGTAAATTTCAAGATTCCTCAGCAGAGGTTTGTGCTTGGAGCAGCAATGGTGCCCACAAGGGGTAGCCAAGGGTGGCCATGGCCACGCCTAGAAAATTGCTGCCCCCCCCCCCAGCAAAAGCCAGTGTTATGAAATCATATTAATGTTCACTCAAACAATAAATTGATCTTATTTATTCAATACATTATTTTCAGTAAAGAAATAATCAGAATAAAAAACAATACATGTTTCTGCTGCTCACCATCTTAAAAGTTTTTATCTCCATAGTTTTTTGTGAACACAGCAACAACTAAAATAAAAACAAATACATTTTAAAATAAAATTTGAAATAACATTTTAAATAACTGAAATGTATTTTTATGAAATGCTTATGTTTGTAAAAATAAAGTTAAACGTTTTGGATATGTACTTTAAAAAAAAAACGAATAAAGGAGCAATGCAATACATCACCACAGGCTAAACTCTCCCAGAGTTACCACAAGGACCAATTTGGTGTGCCACCCCAAAGATGTCTTTGGCCCCGTCTGGCCACCCCTATCAAATTTCTCTAGAGGCGCCCCTGTGGAGCAGTATGGCTGAATGCAATGCTGACAAAAATAGATGGTTTTATAAAGTTTATTAAAAGAAATAGAGAATAAAACACCAAACGAAACTACATTTAAATTGCAAAGTAAAGATGGTTTTGTATACACAATGATTTAGAACATTTGAATCTTTGAGAACAGCTAAACGTGAGATGCAGGTGTGGTGAATCAGCAATCATGATTGAAACAAGCTCAAAGCTTTAGCTTTTTTCTCAGATGTTTACAATTTTCCTTAGGCCATAGTGTCTACATGTTGCCTCAAACTAAAGCATTTAGAGAAAGAAACAACAAGAACCATCACAGCCTGGTTAACTGTCACCATTTTGTCTATTCTCTGCACAAATGCGTCCACGTGTTGTTCACCATTTGGTGCTGTGGAGCGCAGCTCTTTGTGTATTTCCTGGAAAACATTTAACTTATTGCAACAAACCACAGTAACTACATTATTCATCTTACAATTAGGTTTTTTGTAGCTTAAACAAAAACTCAAAAGGCAAATAAAACACTATATGGAGGGAAAACTTAAATCCACACCACAACGTTATCCCTAGTCGGTGTGGGGCGCTGCCTTATTTAAGGGACTTTAAGTTAATTGGGGTCACTCTCTAGGAAAGTGCAGTACATCACGGTGAGTTTGGGAGACGGGAGGACAAGAATGGGACTTGATGCTGTTGTGTTTGCTGAGAGCCTCGTCAAAATCAAGCTGCCGGTCGTTGACGGTGATGTCCATGCAGCCGTGGTAAAAGGCCGATACAGGGGTCAAAGGTAATGGGATGTCGTCTGAAACAAAGGCAAATAAAATTATTAATATTAAAAATAGCAAATGCAACGACATACAGGAAACTATCAAAGGTTGTTTCAAAGTTGCTCAAAGCGAAAACGCACTTCTAATGCATTAACTCTTTTTGCAGGACGCATATTTGATTTGTGTCTGCAGTGAAAGGTATTTGTTGCGAGAGCACAACACAGTCTAGAGACATGTTCAACCAGCAACACGTCCTGCCTGTTTATTGCTGCAAACAACCTGCACTGGGAAACTTTCATTTAAAACCGTTAAGTTAAGGAATACAAAAGCAGCTCAGTACTGCTTTATGTATCTGTGTCAGTAAGGTTTTACATGAATCCTTAAAGCTGAACAAAAGACAACTAGACTTTCTTGTTTCTTGGAAAGTCCAGCAGCCTTCTGAGATTTGTCCCAGAGCCACTCCACTGAAATGTTTTATAAGGGCTTTGACATCTGCACAGACTCAAAACGCTTTAATTCTGGCATGCTATGCATATTTTTATTATCTCGTAATTCAAAACTTGCACAGCATGTTAGCTCAATAAACATTTATGAGCTTTACTGTCTGATGTTTGCACTGACGACCTGATTCAAATGATCCAGCACACTTCTCTTCTAATACATTTTTATTTTTTTAATCCCATCGTGATGCTGACACTTCATCCTGTCAGGCAGGAGTTAGTTTTGAGTTACTAACCTGGTATCCCACCAACGTATGTGTTGACAGGATTCTGCATGGTCCTGTTGAGGAGCTCTAGTGCCTCCTGCAGGGCATCAGACGTCATGTAGGAAACAGTGGAAGAGTTGGCTGAGATCTGGAGTTCTGTCGGAGTAACGTTCAGGTGTACAGTGAGCCGGTCAGGGTAACACAGCATCAGCGAGTCCAACGTTGCCACGGAAACGCCGTCCAGGAAGACTTGCAAGTTCTAAAAGGGTGGAGATGCCAGTTGGCGTCACAAAGTTTGATACATTCAGATGCAGAGAGACGTGGTGTGCTGCATGGAGGAACTCACCGCATCTTCTTCTTCTTTTGTTAACACTGCGACTGACAGGGGGATAGTGTTGTTGTAGACAAGAGCGAAGAGGACACCGGTGCTGCTGGATGGACGGATGTTCATCTTTAGATCCACGTTCCAGCTCCCAGAATCACCTATTTACACAAAAAGGCACAAGTAAAAGGATTTTGTCAAAAAGACATTTAGAAGAAGAAGATGAAGCTTCACATGACTGCACGTGTTCAGGTAGTCATTGTGAATTTAACACTTTTCAGAAATAAATGTTTTTTACAAAGCACGACTGAACTTACTCACGGTAGTCTACGTTGAAGTGTGCGAGTCCGGCCCCAGAGAAGAAAGATCCTCGTTCCACATGCACAAAGCAGTGTTTGCTCTTCTTCTCTTGGATGACCTCTTTCACCCCGGATGCCCCCTGGTTCATTAAGTTCCAGCCACGGATGCAGCCATCTAGTCGAGGATTGATCTGACAAACAACAAATGAGTTTTAGCCAAAATATTTCACACGTTCATTTGTGTCTCGTGGGTGGTCTAACCAGCTTACAGGCTTGATAATGTTTTCTGTGCGGTTTGGCAGACCAGCGATGTAGAATTTTGTCTCCAGTTTGCCGTTAACGGAAGTGAAGAGACTCTCTGGGCTGTTGATGCTCATCACGGCCTCCTTGCTGATCTTCACGCTGATGCTGTTTTTCAGCTCATCTACTGATATCTGTCAGTTACACATCAACAATATAATGTTTTAACTTTGCTATTTACCAATATTTCACACATTAAAGCTTCAGGACACAACCCATTCCATCAGTCCAGTTCATTCATCAGAGCTTAAGCTGCTTCTGCGTCAGCCAAAAGGAAATGAACTGATTTCTTCAATAAATTACTGGCCGCTAGCATTCTCCTACCACATGCCACTGTCCATCATTGATGGCTTTTCCTCCACTTGTAACCTTGGACGTGTGCTGGTTTTTAAATTGGACTTCAATGCGACCTTCTCTTAGTCCCAACATGAACCACGAGCCCTGGGATGACTCTGCATATAAAACAACTCCCTCTGGATCAAACGTTCGGAAGTCAAACTCCGCTGCAAACCTAAAAAAAAACACATGTGAGACTTTGCAACAGATCTTTCACTCATTTTTGGAAATGCATTTTCTTTTAAGGAAGAAACTTTACTTGTCATTGAACCAGCGTCCTGGTACAACAAAACATTTTCAGTACAATGTTTCCAAGATCGGATATACAGCACGTAACGAAAAACAGGAGAACAGTTGACTGTGGGCATGCAGCCACTACGGTGCTCCCATTTTTATATAAGGAAGCAGGTGACAGGAGGGCAGGGAGGGATGAGGTAAAAAAAAAAAAAACATGCACCCCCACTCTGCCCCCAACAGGGCACACAGAGATGGCTTCCAGGAAAAACACCTCAACATATAAGCAGACATTCAGGCAATTACAACGTAATCCACGAGTGGTTGGTGGGAGAAGCAGGGATCCCCTTTTCAACCGAGAGAGTTTGCAGCTATCCAGCGCACCTGCCAATCTCTGCTGCTCATGGGTGGAAGGAGAGTCACGGTACAAGGAGAGCTTTGAGTTTGTAGGGGGGTGTATGCTTTTCTGTGAGATTTGTGTGTTTGTGCATGCGTGTTGCATCATTCTTCACTTCCAAAGGGGTTTGAATGAAGGCAACTGGACTTCTTTGGTTTCTTAAGACGTTTTGCTTCTCTTTGTCAATTCTGACTGGAATATGGGAGAGTCAAGCTTATACACTGTAGCTGTCTGTTGTTGCTTAATGAGCTGAAAGTACATGTGAACACCCCTCCTCCCTACCCCTTTGTGGGTCGTAGGAAACGTCTTCAAGAAACCAAAGAAGTACTGTTATGTCCTCTGCAGAGTCACCTTTCTGGGACAAAACAGCAACAGCTGTAACAAGTATGTTTGCCTTCATTTGAACCCATTTGGATTACCATGACCTGGATGACTGAGAACCTTCACCAATCATGCCTTTCACTTCAGAAATTTTCATTTTGATACTCAAGTTTTCTGTATAAATTTTATTACAAAACAAGTTATCATCTGCACCAAATTTGATGAAATGTATACTTTTATTCTTAGAACAGATTTGTGTGTTTGAGTGTGTGTGTGCATCAAACTCCTACTTTGTGCTCTCTGGCAGGCGGAAGCGCAGGTAGATGACAGGAAGTCCTGCAAACTGCTCTCCTAGGAAGAGCATCTCAGGGTGTTTGTAGTCGTTCAGCTCCACACAAACCGGGATGCTTTCACATCGTCGCTCGTCCGCTGCCAGACGAAGCCCCGCACGGCCATCACAGTGGCACGTAAAGCTGCCAATTGTGTTATGGCACATGTCGTCACACAGTCCCAGCTCACACTCATCCACATCTGCATCAACCATTGGGAGAAAGACAACCAGTGATTTGGTGTCAGTCAGAAGATATTTGTATGAAAATATATGGGGTTTCACATAAAGGTAAAGTTGGTGAAATTAATATAATATTAATAATAATAATAATATAAAATAATATCAATAATACATTTATTTATATAGCGCTTTTAAACAAAGCACTGCACAGCATAAGAGATAAAAACAGTACCCCAATATAAAGACAACAGCATCAGCTATAAGCATATATCCATTGTATATTCAGTTATTTACCATTTGCACTTGTTTTCTAATTGGGTCCACCACAAACAGCAGACATTTCTGCAGAAAATTTGAAAGGGCATATTCTTCTTTCTATCAAGGTCCAGAAGAAATAAGTTTCAAGAAGAACCTGGGTTTTGATTTTTGCAAAGTGTAATAATATATTTGTTTGTATTTTTAAGGAAGTGAAAAGTGCAATGCAAACTCGACTGTGGAGTAAAGGGTCCGTGGCAAACTTACAGCAGTCCATCAGAGCAGCAAAATCGAATAAAATGAGGCTGAGAAAAAAAGTCATGAACATAAATCTCACCATCACAGGTCCTGGAGGTGGAGGTGTACTTAAATCCCAGAGGACACTGGCACTCATACATGCCTGGAGCGTTGACACATTTAGCTGGTTTTTCACAGATACTGGGGAACAGCAAGCACTCATTGACATCTGGAAAACAGAATTTTAAATATAACATTTCAAATAAAAAATATTCTCTTTAAAGAAGTGGTAGATCAGGGTAAAAGGGAAATGTGTATGTTTTTGCCTTTCCATGCAGAGAACTGCCTTAAAGAATTCTTTGGACGTTAAATTGAGGAAAGCAGTCCAGAACATTGATGACACATGAGGTCCAGCAAAAACAAAGCTCTTTAGATATTCTCAGTGGCTCGGATACTCTCCTAAATGGCTGATTACAATTCATATATACCAAATAAAATTTGTTTCATTTTTTAAATTAAATGAACTTCTGATTTCTTTTTGTAAAAAAAAAAATGTTATCTATGCACATAAGATACCATTCAATCCAAATAATTATTATCATAACTAATAAAAATATTTGCAAAATTCTAGTTTGGGTGAGAGAAAAGGTTAAAGTAACAGGAAATTATCTGTGAAGTTGTGTGAATGTTGTTCATTACACTTAAACAGTGCATATGATTGGGCCGTTTAAGGTTCTACACTGTTTATTAGTCAAATAAATGTAATCTTTAAAGTGACAATGTGTAGTTTTTACCATTAATCTCTGGAAATATCCATCGAAATGTTGTTGTAAATTAATTAACCCTCTCACTGTCTTTATGGGTGACCCGATGAGGAAAGTTGACCAGTGAGCAGGATTGATGGTTTATCCTTTGAGGTTCACGTGGCAGGGGTGAGGTGGTGCTCACTCCTCACCCCCTGCCACATGGACCCAAGGGATAAACCATCAACCCTGCTCAATGGTCAACTTTCCTCGAGGGGTCACACCCATTAGGACAGTGGGAGGGTTAAACGATGCCCAGTTGTTGAAAAATATTGGCAGTTTCATAACTTATAACCATAAAAATATGTTCTAAAATACATGGGAGCAGGTCTAAGACTGTGGGCGGCACCATATTGGAGGCCATGTTTGCTTCTACGGAAGCCCATGAGAACAAAACACATTTATTTATTTGTAACAAATGGTTAAAAAACTTTCACCAATAACAAATGTTGTTGTTTTACACATTTACCTCCACTCGTTGCCAGTGATGAAAGGGAATCTGATTGTTATTTTGCTGGAGGTTGCAATCCCAGGGATTTTTGACCCTAATGGCCAACCGTTGGTAAGTTCTTATTTGAACACAAAAGTAATGCTTGCTTGCGTTGATTTAGGTATGTACAGCCCTCTATCTCCAGAGAAAATACACACTACTTTAATGTGCCAGATCTATTAACATTTGTGTGTTTTGCTGAAGACATAAGCAGGAAGTAAAGTGATGATTACATTTCTAAATGGGTGAAATAAAATAAACTTGTTTCAACCTAAAATCTTTTAAACATGTTTTGTATGTTTTTGTTATTACCTTTAAAAGTTCCTTCCTTTTATTAATGTTCTTCAACAAGTTTAGGCTTACCAAATCAAATCTATTTATTCGAATGCTCTAATGAGAAGCCAAGTTTATTTTAAACCTGCAGTCAGTGAAATGAACAAATAAAACCAGCCATGTCTGACCGAGTCCATGTTTGTGAAGACTTTGCACTGGAAACACACACAGTGAGACGTGAACAAATGTGCAGACATGAGACAATGAGTGGGTAAAACCTGTCAGCTGTTTCAAATAGCTGAGAGTTAACAGACTGCAAGTGTGTTCACAGCAAAACTAAAACAAAACATGGGCCATCTTTTCAGATGCTACACACTGATGACAATCTGTTGCATAAGAGGTAACTTCAGGTCAGCTTTGGAAATAACAAACAACGTGTTTCCTGAGGACAGCAGCTGAAGGAAAATAGTGTTTTTTTTTTATTTTTCATTTAAATGAATAACAAGAAGAAGAGGATGAACTGCGTCTTACCCACACAGTGGATGTTGTCATTAAGGAAGTAGCCATCCTCACACATGCAGTGAAAACTTCCAGGGATGTTGAGACATTTTTGGTTGCATCCTGCAGGAAAGTCAGGATCCGAACACTCGTCTATGTCTGCCAAATAAACACATTTCAAAAGGTTTTCAAACATCCTTACTTC